GTCGTTGTTCCTTAGTGCCTGCTCCTCTTTGATTCCCCAGGATTTCTACTCTGATTCCCCAGGAGGCTTTGAAATAAACCTGGACCACCGAAAGCTGAAAACACCCCAGGCCAAGCTCTTCACTGTCCCCAGCGAGGCCTTGGCCATTGCAGTGGCAACGGAGTGGGATTCCCAGAAAGACACCATCAAGTTCTACACAATGCACCTGGTGAGCATGGCAGGGTGGAATGCTGAGACTTCCAGATGCAGAATATGGAGGCAATAGATTGTCTTGCTCCTAATGAGCAAAAAGTTAGGGCTTTCTCTGGGCTGGCTGGAGATTCTGTCTCACTGAGAGAACTTGGGAAAGGGCTGTTTTTGGGAATAGTGAGGGGCAGGAGGAAACTGTGAGCTCTGGAGCAGTTAATGGCCCTTCTTTCCTGCTGCTTAATGGGCTGTTTCCAGGGATTCTGAAAGATTTGAGAAGATACCTATTACATGAGCCATTTTGTGACCCTGCACCCCTCAGTTGTTCATCTGACACAAATCCCTCTGCTTCTTCTTGGCATTGTACCGTGGAAGCTGCTGCTTTTTCAAGTCTGGAATAACAGCAGTTTCAACTGCCTTTATCCCCAGACCACTCTGTGCAACACAGCGCTGGACAATCCCACACAGAGAAACAAAACGCAGCTGATCCGGGCAGCTGTGAAGTTCCTGGAGACAGACACAGTCTGGTACGAGATGGGGGCCCAGCTGGATTTTGGAAAGAGGGTTGGGTAAAGTGAGGGAAGACATCTGCTCTCACCCAGTCGTGGCATGGCTCTGATCTGTGCTGGTTTTTGCCCGACAGTTTGAATTAGTTTAGATCAGTCCTGCATGTGCAAACCTGGTTGGAGTCTATGCACCCAAAGAAGGAGCACTGGATTTGGTCCTCAAACTGTTTTGGATACCTCCATGCTGGGCAAGGGTGAGAGCAGCAGGAAATTAAGATCTTGGAGAAAAGAAAACATCTTTGAAAGGCCTGTAGGGATTTGTCAGCCAGTCTGTGCCAGTACAGATAGCTCAGACTACTTATGCCAGTCCCAAAATTTAAAGTCCCTGTGAGCTGTAGGATCAAGCTTGTTCAGGCTTCTGTCCCAGCCTCCATTTGGCAGCTGCACATTTCCTATGGAGAGAGAGGAGCAGGCTTCCCCCACCTGCCCTTGTGGCTTTGGTCAGACTGGGGGGACAGGGAATGCTGAGCTGAGCTACTGGGCAAGGAGAAGCAGGAGCGGTCCCACACAGAGCTGCAGTGGGGTTTGTACCTTCCCCTAACTGCTAAACCTCACTTCAGTCTGTGGCTTGGGGCTACCTGCAGTTTTCAGTTGGCTGGTTCACTGCTCTGTTTTGTAGTAAGACAGAATTGTCCTTCCTGGAATAACAAAAAGCACTGAATTTGGGGAGGAGTTAGGATTCCCTGTCACTGCTGCCTGGGTGGACAGCAGGTCCCTGTTCCACTTGCTGTGGGTCTGGTGGAGTCAGTGTCCTTCCCAGAGGTGTGTCCCAGCTTGGGAGCGACCATCCAGTGTGGTTTTGTTCTGTGATGTCCCAGCTATCGTGTGGAGGAGCCTCCAGCCTTGGCAGAACTGCAGAAGAATGAATGGGATCCCGTGGTCGCCTGGGTTGAGAAAAGGTGAGAGCTCAAAGGGTTCCTGGCTGCTTAAGGCCCTGCCCTGCTGAGCCCAGGAGCTCTGCTGCTTGTGACTGCCAAGCTCCATGAGTCCTGGGCCTTTCCCCTGGGCTTTGCTAAGGGTTTGGGTGATCATTCCAGGTACAACGTGACAATTGGCTCCTCGACCAGCATCCTGGGGCCAAACATTCCAGCCAGCACCAAGGACACCTTTGTCAGCCACCTGGCCTCCTACAACATGTGGGCCCTGCAAGGTGAGCAGGGCTGGGCCAGTGAGGAGATGGTTCCTCTCCGTGGGGCAGGAGAGTGACTGTAATGTTTTCTTCTCCTGCTCCAAGTGTGTAGGTTTATGTTTTAAATCTGCAGGCCAGGCCCTGACCTGCTTTTGTCACAGGCAGGGATCACTGGTGTTCAGGATCTGGCTGTGCTGTCCCATGGGCTGCTTGCTCCACCTTAGCACAAATAACTTCTTTAATACCAAACCTTCTAATGATTTAATCCCTAGCTTTGTTGTTACCAGGAAAAGAAATCAGGCTTAGTACCCAAAGTGCCCACACTGTGCACTGTCCTCACTTTTTCTTCCTTATATCCCGCTTAATCTTGCCTGAATCATCTGAATGACACCGAAAGAAAAAGAAATGAAGGGAGGTTTGCTTTGCTCCAGACCTGAATGAGCAGCAGGCAGTGAAACCCACAAAAGACACAGAATTCTCAAGCCTAGATGGATATTTCTTCCCTTTGCACAGGGAAGGGTTGTGGCAGAATAAAAGAAGGTGGCGTCCAGGGCATGGTCTTTGTCAGTGTGGTGGCAGGGCCAGCACAATGCTCTGTGCCTGCTGTTAACCACACATCTGAGTGCCCAGGTGCAGGTGGGAGGATCAGTGGCCCTTCCTGAGGGGTTACCACAGCCTGCCTGTCTCTTCAGAGTATGTGAAGATGCTGCTGTAATGCTGCAGAAAACAGCCATGAATCTTGTTTGGTTTGGGTTATTCCCTTCCAGGTATAGAATTTGTAATCACCCAGCTGAAATCGCTGATTCTGTCCATGAGCCTGATTGACAGGCACATTACAGTAGAGAAAGCTGTGCTTCTGTCTCGCCTGGAGGAAGAATACCAGGTAAATTATGTTACAAAACAGCCCTATAATTCAAATAGCAATAATCTCAGCATGACAAATGCATCCCCCACCACAAATAACTGGCAAGGGAAGTGCCTGCTATAGCAGGAGACGTTCCACTCCACCAGTCTCCCTGTCTGAGAGCGTTTGGAGCGTGCTGCTGCAGAGCAACACCACGGGCACACCAGCCCAGAGTGCTCCCAGGGCTGCCAGTTTCTTTTCACAGAGCCCAGATGGCTGCTCTTCTCCCTCTCTAATCTGAAGTGCAAAGTTGTGGCTGGCTTCTCCTGCTGAGGGTTATGCAGTCTAGAGGCTTTGATAGACACCAAGATATCAGGCTTGCTGGAAATTAGCTTGGTGTGAAACTCTCCTTGTCCCAAAAGTGGCTGAAGTTGAAAATCTTTTCATCCTCTCGTTAAGAGGCTTTGTATCAGACCCCAGTTCAGATGAAGCACATCCTCATCTCAAGATATCCCTGCCTCAGCAGTCAAGGATCATCTCAGTTCCTGGGGGGGGGGGTTACCTGTGCTTCACAAACATGAGAAGGGAAGCTGAGAGTTGCTGAGGTGATTTGAATGTAATCCATGTTCCTCCTCTCCTTCAGATTCGGCGCTGGGGCAACGTGGAGTGGGCCCATGACTACGACCTGTGTGAGCTGCGTGCTCGCACGGCAGCTGGGACTCTCTTTGTTCACCTCTGCTCAGAGAGCTCCACTGTAAAACACAAGCTGTTGCAGGACTGAGGCAGCTGGGCAGGGCACTGAAAGAAAATGTCCAGCTGGGAATTGCTGGCCTGATCCAGTGGATGGTAGCCACCTTCCTGCCATTCCACTTTTCCTGGGATCAGCTTCATGTGCTGTGGTTTTGTGGGCAACTCCTCACTTGGATTGCCTGCTGCAGTGCAGCAGACAAGGAGGAAAGGTCAAGGTGAGTTTCCTCTGAATCCCCAAGCCAGCAGCTCCATCCTTTCCTGGTGTCTGTAACTCATCAGAGGAGCTCTCACGGAAGAAACAGCTTCCTGGGCAGGGCACGGCACAGACATACCCAGCATATGCCACATGTCTTCATAGCTGCCAGCTCCTGACACACACTTGTTATGGAAATCTGAAAACAGACTCCACTGCATCTGTTGTTCATCCCTCGGCGTGCCTGTCTGTAACACCAGGGTCTCTGTGTTCCATTAAAGACTCGCCCCTGTGAGGTACCAAAAGCTGCGTGTCTTTGTTTTAGTCACCAAACTGGGGGGTGGTCCTGAGCTGCCAGGTTGTGGGCAGGTGCTGGGATGGCTCCAGGTATTAAAAGTCCCAGACTAGAGCAGACACACTAAGTGAACCAGTCTATGAAGCTGAGGTGGTAGCAAGGAGACAACAGTGTAGTCCTGGAGCAAGAGGGGTAAAACCTGGGCTCCAGCCATCTTCAGAACCACAGAGCATGATGCTCTGAATCTGTGTTTGATAGGCAGCACCAGCCACGGGTTTTTCTGTGTCCTGCTCTGTCCCTGGCGTGCACACACAGCCACCTTCTCGTTTACCCATCCCACCTTCTCCTCGCTGCCTGCCTGGAGCAGCAGCGCCCTGGCCAGCACCGTTCCTCAAGGAGCTGCCCACAAGCGAGCGTGGCAGCGGCTGTCACCGAGCAAGGAGGGGAATTAATGACTCCTCGCTCGGCTGTCGCGAGCGGCGGTGCGTGAGCTCCTGTGGAACCATTGATTTCCCTTCCTGCTGGCTGGGGGCCGCTCTGCTCACGCTGCAGAAAGCCGCTTGTGAGAAGGGGTGAGAAGATGAGGCTCCCAGGCATACGGAGCCCCTGCCAGCCTTGTGCTTGCTGAGCTGGAAACCTGCTGTTATCTCGGGGGTGGTTTGATGGAGAGCGCTCCTCTCCCGAGCTGCTGCCTCGTGCCAGCGGCTCACAGGTTCCTGCCACTGAGCTCACAGGTACTGAAGCTTTCAGGCATGATATGCTACGATGATTTGGTTCAATCAGCTCACAGCTGATCCATAACCCCTTGTGACCAGGTCTGAGTTGTCTGTGCGGGCTTTGTGCCAATATGATGGAAGAGACAGGGCTTCGGATGCTTTTCCAGAGTCAAAAAGCAGCTTTTATTTGCAGTTTATGGTAGGATGGAAGAAATATGCGTTTGATCTGAAATGTCCCAGGCAGCTTGGGCTGCAGCTAGCAAGGCAGCTGTTCCTGCTGGGAGCTGTCCTGTGTGCCCTACCTGAGGCAGCTGCCCACCCCTATTCCTTAGGCTTCAGGATCATTGTGTTATCCAGCTCCTTCTGCAGAGTGTTGATGAAGCAAAGGATCTTTCCAAGGCAGGCACGGTTTCTGTCGCTCTCAGTTTGGAAAGCCTGGACAGATTGAAACAAGCAGTGAATCTGCAGGTGTGTCAAGGTCCCTGGAGCACAGAGGGCTCCAGCAAAGGTCTGGGAGTGTCTCTCCTCACAGTGTCCCTGCCACTTGGGCCAGACCTGTGTGTGTGGCCCATTCCCCTGAGTGTGAGGGTCTCTTACCTTCTCTGTCTCTGAGATCTGCCACTGGTAGATGTTGCAGAGCATGTCGCTCTCTCGCTTATCAATCTTCCGCAGGCGGATGCTGTGGGATGTGTTGATGATGTTGACAATGGTGTTTTTGTCCTCAAAGAGCTGGGAGGTAACGTGACCGGATGAGAGGAGGGGGTGAGCACACAATGAATGAGCAGCACAGCAGTGCTCAGAGGGAGAAAGCCTCTGTCTCAACCTGCCAAATCCCTACTCATTGGGATCAATCCAGGGCTTTACCCTTGGCCTTGCTACAGTGTAATGGGGCATTATCCCTAACACAGGTGGGGGAACAGAGGCAGCACCCTTGGCCCCACGTGCAGGAACAGGGAGTTCAGTGCAAGCAGGGCTGCCGTGCAGCTGGTGTTGAAGCAAGGCTGTATATGCTTCAGCATGCCTAGAAATGGAAAATCACACTTGGAAGGGATTCCTGCACTGCTGGCACTGGCTGTAAATCTTCATTTTTGGAGAGTCCCAGCTTGTAATGGAAGTGGTGACTTCCCTCGTGGCTCTATATAGAGGGTGGCTTCACTAACCCATAATGAGACTCCTCCTGCAGCCAAGTGCAGCTGCTGGGCAAATGAATTCCCTTCTCCATGGGAAGGGATGGCAGTGAAGCAAAATGGGTGCACAGCAGCAGCGCAGAACTGCCACCATCTGCACAGGCCATAAAGCAGCAGCTCCCCCGGGGGCTCAGGGGTCTGGTTTGTGTCTGTCAGCTCTTGATTACCTGGAGTGACAGGGGGCTGGGATAATCTGGACAGAGCAAAACCACAGCTAATGCAAATTCAAGTAATTTAGCCACTAAATGAAGGAATAATGGAGGCAAAAAGGGCAGCAGCGTTGCTGAATGGAGCACTGCAATGATGTTGGTGCTTTTGGAAAAGCTACTGGGATCTTTGCTTCCACAGCAAGACTGAGGGCTCGGTGGAAGGCTTCAGTTAAAGGATCATGTCCTGCCTCCAGATCAGCTCATGGGCTCAGGAGCTCCTGGAAGGGATTTTGATATCACTGAGTCAAACAAACCCCCAGTGCAAGAAATTCAGAGCAGTGTTGGGATTCTGCTGAGGGAGCAGGGAGAGTCTGAACAAAACCAGCTGTGAGGGAGTGCAGCAAAGATGCTGCCTGAGTGCCTGGAAATCAGCCAGAGCAGTGAGTTGTGCTGAAGGCAGGAGAGAGATTTCCTCAGCATCTCTCCTGGGCTGCTGCCACCAGCTCTGGCAGTGTCCAGGGAAACCTGCAGTGCAGTTATCCCCTGTCCTAGTCAGTGGAGATGTCCAGAGGCACCAGAGTTCAGCCAAGCAGCTGCACCCTCTAGGAAGGAGGTTGTGCTGTGGTTCGGGTATGGCTCTGGCAGCACTGAGCCTCCTGGAAATCCTGTCCCTTCAGAGCAGAGGCTGTGGCCTCGTTTTCTTGCCTACTCCCTCACTGAGATGAATTGTTTTGGTGCCCTCACCCTTTGAACATCATCTGGCAAACTCTCATCAAATGGATCCATGTCCAGTTTCTCCAGGGTGGCGATGACAATCACCATCAGCTTTTCATGGTGTTCATTTTCCAGGTCCCGGCACTGGTTAAATGTACAGAACATGGCTAAGGAAAAAGCTGCCCACACCACTCATCTGTGGAGATTAAATGACCTCCCATAACTGGGATCAAGTGTCTGCACAGGGGGATTCTGCAGAAATGAGCCTGGCTGCTCCCAGAAGCTGCTGTGGTGTCAGGATATCAGGATATACACTTTCAGTTCTTAATCACACACTGAGTCTCATCTTTACTGCCAAATATGACAGAGGATTGAGAGAGGACCTGGGATTGCCAGGGAAATTGGAAGAAGCCTCCAGGTAAAAGCTAAGCTCTGAATGCAGTGCAATTATTTGCACCAGGCCATCAGATTTCTAGATTTAAAGCAGTGTGACCTGACACTCAAGCACTTTAGTATTCTCATATAACTTTTTTCCAGCACACATCAAGAATATAAAAATGAACACCATTTAAAAACATTTCAACAAGAACTGGATATTTCATCGACTGCTATGGCAGGAATGTACTAAGAAAACAGTCTAACCAGATCTTTCCCGTGTTTTGTCTTCTCTGCATGGAGAAGAAAGGAAGATTCCCAACAGGGTGAAAGCTGCCTAAATCCTACAGACTCTCAGCACAGTAGAATTTAGATATTTCTGTGCTCTCCAGAGTCTCCACATAAAGAAGCTGGGCACCTTGAATGACCGATTCTCAAAGCTAGGAAAAAATATTTTCTGTTGATTAAAATAATAATAAAAAAAAGTTTTTATACTGCTGGTTCATTTTTGGATTTAGAGGTGAGGTATAGGTACATGACTAAGAGGGCCAGGCCAACATACTGTGAAAAGGATATATCCCTTTAATGTTTTCAGTGAATGTTGATGCTATGACATCAATGCTTCTTTTAAAATCCTGTAACAGTTCCTTAACAGAGGGGAAAAAGAGGAAATATCACAATGAAAACTTGCATAAACATAACAGGGAGTTGGGGAGTCTAGGAGGAATCTACAATTTATTGTAATTTAGACTCACTGCTGTTATTAGCACAGTCAGAAACTGAACTGCCTTGAGCATTTAAAGTGTTTTCAAAGTGCTGCAAGATTTTCTTCCCTTCTTCAGGGACAGAAAATCACAATCAATTTATTGGAGGGAAATTGACTGAATACTACCTTTACCCAGTGTCTGGGGATCCTTTGTTACCCTCACCTAAGCAATGCCTGGAGAGGGCTGTATTCCCATTCCCTGCCATGCTGCATCCTCCTTGTCCTTGTCTGTATGAAGAGCCTCTTGTCAGAAGCACAACCCCTGCCTGGGCTTTACTGCAGCTCTTGATTTAGTCCTCAGGAATTAAAATTGCTGCTGCCTATTCCCTCTCTCAGAAATGGCTGATGGAGAATCTGTGAAGTGTTGCACTTAAATGTCTTGGTACCCTGAATCCTGCAAATCCAGCGGGGCACACAGGGAGAAATGTTTCTGCTCATCCCATCAGTGATTGCAGATATGTAAGGGACAGCTCAGAAAACACTAAAAAGGCACAATCCTGATGCAGTGAGGATCCATTTTGAGTTGCTGCTTTCTGCCATCCATGCTCACAAAAGTAAACTGCTGCACACAGGCCACAGCTCCTGCCTGCTCATTTTTAAACAGCTTACTTTGGATTTTTTTCCTTTGGTGAAGATGCACATCAGCAGTCCTGCCCTAGTTTTTGAGGAAAAGTCTGGGGAGGAAAAGGCAGCTATTATGCAAGCAAATGCAGCAAGCTGAGCAGGAATGTGTGTAATCTTATAGCAAAGATCAGCTTCAAAGAGTGACAGCTCTAGAATTCCAAATGCATACCCCATGCTATGCTGCTACTTGTGCAGACCTATAAAATGATTGCACAACTTCCATGCCTCTAAAGTGTGGGAAACTAGCTTGGATAGATGTGATGGACCTACTGTGTTCTGCTCTGAAAAACAGAAATCTGCTGTAAGGTATCAACATCCTGATCTCACCCTCATCAACTTTGAGTAGAGAAAGAATAAGATGGGGACAAAACATTTTCCTGAGTGGAAGTCTCGTGGCCCCCTCTTTGTGACTAAGCTGCTACACAGGGCTGCAGTGAGAGAGAAGTGACCCCCCAGTGTTCTGGCTGTGAGGTGTCACAGGTGGGAGTTTGGATCTCACCTCCAGGTCGTTGGATACCAGCGCTTCCAAGGTCATGAGTGCATCCCAGAGCTGACGGATGTCCTCCTTGCCCTGGGCTCGTTCAGACTCAGCAAGGTTGCCACTCCCAGCCTGATAAAGCTCATCCAGCCTCTAAACACAGACATCCATGAATTACTTATAGCTTGTGTTCAGCACTGCATCTCAATTTAATTAACTTGTTACGTGTGTGAGAAAAGTTCCTGCTGCTGATTAGCTGAAATGAAATGTGATGATTCAGGGAAGTTGCCAGATTTACATAGTGGGTAGTCAACAGTGCTGAGGTTTGCTACTGCAGGGGGATTGGGAAAACTCTTCCTCATCCTCCACTCAGCAGAAGACTTTGCTCCTTCTATGCTTCCAACTTTTGTTCCCCTTCATTTCAAGAAAAAGAAAAGAACAATATTTAATTCTTGACATTGCTGGCTGTAAAGAAGAAATTAACAATTGCTTCAGAGAAAGAAATGCAGGCCTAAATCCTGATCCATTTCCTGCCAAGGAGAATCTTGACTGACTTCCAGTAGGGTCAGGATTTAGTATTCTGAATATGGAATACCTATCATTGTCTGCCTTCCTCTTACAGCAAGGATTTATTGCCCTTCAGAATTATGTATTGACGTCACTTTTGTATCAGGCAAGATTTATGTTTTCTTGGATCAAAAAAAAAAAATCCTCTTGTGCTGAATGTGTTATTTTCAAGTCTGTTTAAAATCACTTAACAATCAAGTTTTAAAAAGGAGGGAAAATATATATGTTTTATTATGGATTAAATCCACTTCTCCTGAGAGGGAATGGAATGGGGTGAAATAAAGAATTCTGTTAAAAACCCCTGCCAAGGCTTGTGTCTGGAAATGGGGAGGATTACCCAAACTTTGCAGTGTTAAAAGGGGGAAGGGGAGAGCAAGGTGTCTCATTCTCTGATGTAAACAAGTTAGGAGGCTCAAAAGGCTCCAGAGCCACTCAAGCTGCACCTCTGGGAGCAATAACTTCAAAGTTCAAGGCCTTTAATCCTCCGTAACCAACTTCAGAGAGTGCAGTGATTTTACAGGTTACCCAAGTTTACATGCAAGGATTACAGACAGACAAACATCCCTAGAAACAGCTCACAGACTGCAGTCTGCTGGGACCTCTGTGCCTTTTGAACTCCTCCAGCAATTTTAAATGATAGGGGAAATAATGTTAAAACATTGTGTTCGGTTTTGATACCAACTCCTCTAATATTTATATGAAAATTGGCATGCTGACCCCTGTGTCCTGTTCATAGAAAATCACAGAATCCCAGAATGGTTTGGGTTGAGAAAGACCTTAAAGCTCATCTTGTTCCACCCCCTGCCATGGGTAGGGGCACCTTCCACTATCCCAGGTGGCTCCAAGCCCTGTCCAGCCTGGCCTTGGACACTTCCAGAGATGGAGCAGCCACAGCTTCTGTGGGAATCTGTGCCAGAGCCTTCCTACCCTCACAGGGAAGGATTTCTTCCTAATATTTAATTTAAGTTCTTCCTCATATCCCATCTAAGCCTGCCCTCCTTCAGCTTAAGGCCATTCCCCCCTGTGACCCCTTGCTGCCCAATCCATAGCTGAGCCTGTAGGTCAGACCAAGGTGAAGGAGTCAAATCTGGTCTCAGCTGTGTTTCTTTAGGTTTTCTTGCTGTTTCTTTGTAGGTTTTGCAAGGTTGGTTTTGCTTGTTTAGGGCTTTTTTATGGAAGACAGTGAGAATTCAAGCACACGTCAACCAAATATTCATACGAGACTTTGGTTTGAAACGAGATGATCTTTAAGGTCCCTTCCAACCCAAACCACTCTGCAGTTCTGTGACTCTGGTAGTGCTGCCAGCTCCTAGAGCTGCTGGATGCAGATTTCCAGCATGAGTCAGCAAGGTTCAAGGCCCTGGGAGCAGAGTGACTCAGCAGCTGTCAGCCTGTGACAGGCACTGAAATAAAAGTGACCTGGTTTGCAGCAGGAGCGAGCACTCGTGACTCTGCTGGTGTCACTTGTCAGGGACTTGCTCTCTCAGCTGACAATGTGACCAGGTTTCAGCCCTCCCTAAATTTTTTTTTTTTTTCCTGTGGAAACAAAATCATGATCCATCTATTATACATGGTTAGAAAGGGATCCAGCTAGAAGCTACGCCCTGAGCAGCCACAATGGGTGGCTGTAGTTGAGCAGAATGAAAAGAGAGTTTCTGCTTTAAAGGACTAGAAATACATTCAAATAACTTTCTCTAATTTTTTTGGTTATAGTTCTTTGAGCTGTTGTTGAGAAAACGAACTGAAGCTGAAAATTACTTGAAAACAAACTGAATGCCCTGCAATTTCCTTCCTTTTCTTCCTGATTTTTCAGTGAAGGAAGAACTATTGGAGTCTTCAAAAAGAAGGGTCGTAGCAGTAAATATCTATCTATCTATCTATCTATCTATCTATCTCTTAAAAATCTGCATAGTAAAAAATATTTAAACTAAAAGAAAGGTTAAGCATTTCCATTTTCTTAAATATTGGTAACTTTTCTGGATGGGAAAAAATATGAGTAAAAAACCCCACTCTGTTTAGCCACATTTTTTCTGTAAACCCTTGAAAGACCTTTACCTTTATAGATGACATTATGACACATTAATTTTTTTTCTGCACTGAATTTCCAGTATAGATAAAGGCTGTGATAACTGGTTGTAGTTTGCCCAAAGGGTAAAATTTCAATCCCCCTTTCTTTTTCCTACATATACAATTAAAAACTTTTCACATTATGTCAATGACATGTCAACTAACAAAATAATTTTTCTGTGTATAAATTTATATTGTAAGAAACACATAAGGAAGTATCAGTGGCTGAGCACTGGAAAAGGTTTCTCAGAGAGGCTGTGGAGTCTCCATCCTTGGAGATATTCATAGTCCTGGGCAGCCTGCTGTGGGTGGTCTTCCTTGACCAGAACCAGATGACTTCCAGAGATCCCTTCCACCCTCAACCACTCTGTGATTCTGCCATTTGAGATCAAGTATTTATTTCCATTATAGCATTGTCAATTCAGAATAATTTTCCTAATTTTAATGAAGTTACCCCAATTTTCAGTACAATTAAAAGCTAGTATAGGATGTAGAGAAACCATGTATCAAACAAACAGAAGTAGAACATTACCCTTCTGTTCCGACTCTTGAAGTCTGAGATTATTCTCTTGCTTTCTTCCTGGTTGACTGCCAGAATTTCATGGAGCCTTTTGTAGAATTTAGAGACTTCAGCTTCTCGTTTTTCATACTCTTCCAGTCCATAGTTATATAGGTTCTCACAAACTGAGAGAAACTCCTTCTTGTATGTGACAGCAGAGTCAAGGTTTTTTGCTTGTTCAGTGGAGCAACACGTTATGTTCCTTCTGCCTCTTCAAATCTGAGCAACAAGAGCTACCAGCTACTTTTATGTAAACTCTGTGGTTCTTGCTGGGAGCTGCCAAATATTCTGTCTGGGGCAGGACTGGCTCACCCATTCAGGTTTTATGCATAGGATTTTGCTGCCTTAAGGGTATGGAGAAAGCTGTGGCAACTTGAGGAGGGGAAAAGGCCTTGAGGAAAAGAAGAAAATACATTCACTTGTCTGATTCTTCTGACACAGCAACAGAAGGAAGCCTACAACCCTATCTGTCTTCACAAGTGTGAATACAGTGCCTGTGTAGTTAATAAATACAGCTCTGGAGCCCACAGCCAGAGTACAGAATAAACTACTGACTTGGTAGCATCACAAAAATAACGTCAATTTTTCTTCTGCTATTATCTTGGCAATGGAATTGTTTCTGGAGTCTATTGTAGTTAAGCTGTGATGCATTTTTCCCCAACAGTGTAATGCAATTTTAAGGAAGGTCAAGTTACTGGCCTTGACAATACTCTATTAATCTGAATGAGAAAAGGAAAAAGAAAAAAAAGTGTCTGCTTTCTGCTCCCCCGTGTAGGAGCAATGATCAGAAAAATGTGCTGGCCTGGAAACTTCACGTTGCCAGTTCTGGCAGGTTGTGAGATATGCGACTTGTATCGTTCTGATTAGTCTGTTCCTATCTCCTACCACTTCAATTTCAACATGATTTTAGCACTCTGCTCTTACAATCTACCCGGCAGAGATTTATCTTCCAGCTCATTTTAAACTTTAAGTGGATTCCAGACTTAAAGAAAGTACAAAGTCTTGATTCTTGAAGGGTCAGAAAAGGAGGCTAGTGAAATGATGTTTGATTCAAGGGAAGGAAAAGGAATATGGTAATTACAACAGTGAGAATTTAAAATGCTGGGATCTCATGACCTGTTGGGGATAGAAACGAGTGGTTTTACAAATGGGATGTTTCAAGCTGGGCTGGCCAGCTTGCCAGTAATATAAACCATTTGTTTGGAGCCCTCATATTTCACAAAGTATCAAGCCTTAAAGCAGTCAGTGGTCTCACAGCCTTGTAGTGTAATTTTTGGTACCATTCCAAAACTGAACACAGACTGTCTCAGATCTTAGATCAATGTAGCTTTCAGCTCTGGACAAAAGCAACAGATGAAGAGTCCCTGTGGATGCACTTCCTTCTTAACTCAAGGCATTACCTTTTAGCTGTAGGTATTCCAAACCCAGCAAGGATATGCCTGCAGCAGGTCCTCCACTCCAGGGAGGGAAGCCAGTTTGGCAGCTTCTCTATCCTCTTCATACAGACTGTCAAACAGGAGTGAGCTATTCAGGTACTCAACAAAGGCTGCCTTTGAAGAGAAACAGAGAAAAATAAGTAAAATAAAGATGCCAGCCTGCTGCCAGTCCTCAGGATGTGTCTCTCCTATAGGCACCTCGGCAGCAGCAGGACATTGGTGCAGACACAGTTCCATGAACACAGAAGAAACACCAAGCAAGCCATGAAAGCACCTTGCAACTGGAGTGAAACCCATCCCAGGGGCTTTGCTGCTACAACTCTGTAGCCTAAGGATAGAAAACACTGTTTAATCACAGATCAGATCACGGAATCATAAAATGGTTTGGGTTGGGAGGGACATTCAAGATCATCCAGTCACACCCCCTCCATGGGCAGAGACACCTTCCACTATCCCAGGCTGCTCCAAGCCCCATCCAACCTGGCCTGGAACACTTCAGGGATGGGGCAGCCACAGTTTCTCTGGGCAACCTGTGCAAGTTGCCAGGATAAGACATTACCACATACAAACACTTACTGCAAGGCTGTTCAGCCTTTCAGATGAGGAGTTGTGAACTTTGGGGAGGGACAAAGGGAAGAGTTGCAGAAGTCCTTCCTCCCTGGCACTAAACACTAAACTTAAGCCACTCTGATCTTCTAGAGGTGTGGAATACAGAGCCAGGCTACATCTGAAAGCACCATTCCACCTGGTCTTGCTTTCAGTCTGGTCACAGGACTACAGCAATCTCTGAAAGTCCTGGAGAGTTTGACCATAAAACTAATGAAAAGCTTAACTTAGTGTGAAGGAGAAAAAAAAAAGTCACTTCACCATGAAAATGTTAACATTTCCCTCAGACCTGTAATTTTCTTAATCTGACGTCAGGCTGATAAGCTCCCTGGGTATGATTTACTATTTAGCTTTGCAGGGTTTCTATCTGTAGTTTCATTGTTCAGCCCAAAGAATCATGTTCCCCCACGTCATGTGTATTCCACAGCAGTTCCTGTTTCCATCCAAAAGATAAGATTCACAGATCACAGAGATTAATCCAAGCCTTAGTTTTAGCAGAGTTGATGTTAACCTCTCATTAAATCTTCAAGCAGGGAACAGACAAGTCAATATGTGTTGTGCTTCCTTCTCCTGAGAAAATACACAACCAGCCAAAGAAAACTTACCTGGTGGTACTCCAGCTCCTTCTGCTTTGCCTCTTGTGCCTCCTGCAGAGCAAGGACCTGAGCCTCCTCTTGTTCCAATGGCTTAGTAAGATCTTCATACTTTAAAGCTGCAGCTTTTCTCTGAGAAATGTAAATAAAATATTTGTATTAGATTAAAAAACATTGCTCAATGAGTTTGGGCATAAGGAACTGATCTTTCTAGAACAAGCACCAGAGTGGCATCTGCATCTCCATTTCCTCATGGGCTTTTTATTAAACTGCTCGTGAAGTTTCTAATCTAATCCTCATCCCATTTTTTGCTGGCATATTGCTCTGTTTCTGTATTCAATGCATCTGAGATAATTCAGTCCCAGGAAGCTTTTCTCTCTCCATTTTCTCATCTTTAGAATTGTTGGGGTTTTTTTCCTCTTTTAGCAGGAAGTTCTATTTTGACTTCTAGAATTTGAGTTCCAATTTAATCAGTCAGCGAGGTTAATACATTTTCTTGGGTGGAGAAAGCTCTTTGGAGGAGTGGATGGCAAGGCAGTACCAGGGGCAAGAACCTCATTAGCTTGAAACTGAAGCTTGACAAATTTAAGTATGCAATTCTCTGAAGTCCCTGATGAGCAGGGACTGCATTCCATGACCTGGAAAACCCCTCCAGTCCTATGGTAAGAGCAATGTACATTCCAAGCACAGCTCCTGCTCTGAGCCAAGCAAATTTACAATTAATCATGTTCTTTAGTTACTAGAAAAACAAACCAAAAACCCCTGAACAAAAAAGCCCCTCTTTTTTCCCCTTGGAGCCCTGGGATGGTAAAGCAGTTCTACAGGTTACTGGTGAGGCTGGGGAGGATGAAGTGTCTTGCTCAGAAATCAAAAGAGGGAAGTGCATCCAGGCACCTGCTTGCCTGGATTGTCAGTTTGCTACTGAAACAAATCACTCAGTGAGCAGCAGGACCACCAAGGCTCCTTCCCCCTGGATCCACGTCTCAAGACTGATTTCCTCTGAGATTCTCTAAGAAGACTTGCACTCACACTGCAGCCTCTCTGTGGCAACACGAACCAGGCCCCTCTCCCACACACAGCTGCTGATTTTCACAAAATCTGTGAAGACATCATGCTTCTGACACCTCTACCTCTCTGTCAGATTTGACAGAATTTGGCCTACAGGTTCACAGCTGTTATGTGGAAGCAGAATAAACACTGTGTGTTTCTGTGAGCCTGATTTCTGCAGGGAACTTGCCCTCAGTGCTGGAATATTTCTGGCACACCAACAAAGCAAAGGCTCTGTGAGATGCTGCTGCCTAATTTCCCAAGCAGGGAATGCAGAAATCTCACCGTGGAGTCTCTCACGATCTTGAAGTCCAAGTACACCAGGCTTGGAAGATGAGCAACAACAAACAGCGTGTAGTGCTCCTCATTGCAGAGGGGATTCCCACTGAGGTTCAGTGTCCGTAAGCTTTTTAACCTCCTGAGATAGACAACCTGTGCCAGAGGGAAAGAGCTCTGTATTTCCCACTGCTGGGGAAACACAGCCTTGGAATTTATTGCTTTTATTACAGTTGAATTGCAATATTATGTATTCTGCTCGGCTGCCAAATTCACACGACAGTCAATTATGAGTTTCTAATGGTTTTGGGAAAGGAAATACTTAAATTCATGTTGGGAATATCTAATGGATGGAGAGAGAAAGCAGATGGGGTGCACAAATCACAGGTGCTAAATTGGTAAGATGCCCTCAAAAGAACCCCAAATAAATCCTAGTCTCCCCCCTTTTCTCATATGTAGCCACTTATTCCTTTTCTAGCTTTCATAGGAGCCAATAGGAATTTTGCCATGGCTGAGAGCAGTCACTGAACTGGGCCCCCATGAGTCAATAATCTAAAAGAAAAATGGCTGCAGTAAGCACTTAACACCAGAGGACCAAAACCATAGCTCAGACTACTTAGAAATCCTAAGGAGAATTTTATCACCTAAGGAGGGGCTTGGACACAATGGCAAATGCCAGTTTTAGAATATCTGATCCTTCAACAGAGCATATTTGCAAAGCCAGGGAACACTCACATCTTCCAGAGTGGTCAGGTTATTCTTCCCTATGGAGAAAATCTGCAGCTCTTGCAATGTGTCCATGTGTTCAATTTTAGATATTCTGTTACTGTAGAGACTGAGGTCCTGCAGTTTGACAAGAGTATCCAGGCCCTCAATTACTTCAATATTGTTGAAGGATAGGTCTGGGGAAGAATTTAGAAATCAAACATTAAATTATTTCTTGCAGAACACCCTGATTCCACCCTTTAGTTCTGGATGTAGGAGTTTTGTACAGATTTTGCTCAGGAGTGGTCTGTGTCCCACAGGAAAGGCTCAGCATTAAATCATCCTTTATTCCCATCTCCTCCTTGCAATTGTCTGTGCAGCTTTTAAATACGAGGAAAAGCTGAAGTTAGTCCATGCAGTGGACATACACAGCCTGAAAGGGACTTCTGCCTTATGGGGAAACACAAAACAAAAGGTGAGGAAATGCCCTTAGAGGGGAATTTCTGTGAAAAATCTGACACTGCCTTGTTTCTTACAGACTCTGTCCTGCTACACCAATGCCACAGCTGTGGTCACTCCCATAGGACCAAGATATGGCAGTTCCATGTCAGTGAAGTTATGCAAAGGCTCACTTTAGCTGTTTCACTTATTGAAATGTCTTCTTCCCCTGCCAGAACATCTCTCCTAACACCTACACTCACCACGACTAAGGGCAGGATTTGCCCTTGGACTAGTACTGAGCAAGCCAAGAGTCCAAAACCAGTTTATGAGATCTCTTTTGTGGCTGAGACACATGTGTAGCAGCAGCTGAACCACTGCAGCCTTTGGGCAAACGAAATATGTGAGTGTGCTTCAAAACACTCTGCTGACACTGATCAGTTGGTGATTCACAAGTGCATCAGTCATCTGTGGAGCAGAACAGTGCAGACAACTGGGAGGAAGAGCCCATTAAACATTTCACAACGTGCTTATGAGCTGAAGCCCTGCATGCTGAGGATATATTTAGGATTTCAGCCAGCAACGTGGCTGCAGTTCCAGGGAATGCTCTAAGCTGTGCATCTGTGTAGCTGCAAGCAGTCACATAAGGCTACAAGGATGGGCACTCCTTGGGACAATGATGACACCAAGCCCTTAAGGATATAGGGGTAAAAATTGCTGGCTCTGGAATGCCTGCAGCAGCTTTGGAAACAGAATGCAGGCTTCTAAATCACAGAGGTGTTCTCATAAATATTCCTGAGAGTAACCCCTAAACACAATACAGACCTTGGAAACAACCTTGAAAACTCAGCTTCCTGTTCCCTCCACACAAAATGTATTATACCCAGTTTTTAAACATTTGAAGGATTGTTTTGCAGCTCTGATACTCAGGCATTTTGACATTTGACAGTCAAATAAGGAGACACACAGACAGCTGACAGCCTTCCCAGGGTAAGCTCCTATCAGTCGTGTTTGAGAAGTAAGGTGACATCCTGGTTTATCACAGATTGCTTTGCACCTGTGAAAGCACCCACCCTCCTCTGCCTGTATCTCACCAAGCCATACAAGGTGAACCAGACTCTGCAGACCTTCTATCCTCTCAATGATGTTGTTGTCCAGCTGCAGTTTAGTCAGATTCTCTAATGGCCACAGATTATCAATCTGCAGGATGCCTAAAACCACAGGAAAAAAAAGAAAAAAAAGAAAAAAAAAAAGAAAAAAAAAAGGAGACAGCTTTGTTTCAGCAGACATGCTGCCTTGCACAAGGAAAACACGCCCAGTCTTGCCTCCAGAAGGATTTTCAGTGTGTGATGAGTGCCCTGGAGAGCTCAGAGGTGCACTGGCTGGACGAGATTTCAGTGAAACAGCCCACTTAACCTCAGTGTCCTGCACCAGCACACACTGCTCATCAGCGAGGCCAACGAGGCGTGCAGGGGATGCTGACTACGGCCCTGCACTCCAGTGGCTTTATGAATCCACTACTAGGAGGCCTTGACCTTCATTTTCCTCTCCAGCTCCAAGCAGGAGGTTTGGGATGAGGCTCTGCTTTTCTCTGCATTTGCAGTCTAGCTGTGCCCAGCTCCTGCTTTTGTAAATGACTCTCCTGCTCCCGGGATTCTCATCACAGGAGAGGAAGTTGGAGTCTTCTCTTTCTCTGAAGGCTGCAGTTTAGAGCTAATCAATATCCCTGCATTTAGTTTCCTCCAAACACAGAATCACAAGGGCAGGCTGTTAGTCACCACAGCAAAGTATCAGGACCAAGGTGACAGGAAATACAGAACATTCTCACTCCCATTTCTCTTTCCCCTGCAATGGCTTCCCAGAAAATTTCATCTGCTATCCTGCTATCCTTATTTAGTGAGGGCACCACAAACCAAGGAATTGCACACACAAAATATTCACACAGTTCTGGGTTTTGTATCTGCAAACAAATCTATACAGGATCAGGTCAAGGGAGTCTTTTCTAAGAAAATCAACTCATACACCCATTATTTTACTGGAGTGCACAAAGAATAATCAACAGTAGATTTTGGCTGTGAAATTACCCCCTTCCCCAGATACTCAAATATTGAGCCAAATATTCTTCCTTTTCTTTTTTTTTTTTTAGTGCAAGTTTACGACAGGTTTGACAGTAAGAGGCAAGCCATGGTAACGCTATGGATGACCAGAAAATGCCATCAGATTGGGCTGTAATCACCATAACCTCCCAAACAGCTCTCACATAATCACCAGCCATGGCAGAACCTGCCCGGGGTTGGATTTGGCCACGTACCGAGGGGCCCAACAGGCCTGTGGCCTGTAGGTGTCACCACAATATAAATGTTAAATGAGAACAGCAGTGACAATAAGAGTGGGAAGTGAAGCGGTTTTGAAGTTCCCCATGGCAAAAGCACCCGGCTCCCTCTGATGAAGCTCCTTTGTACAGGTATGAGCAAAAGTCCGAGTCCAGATGTTAATTTTAAACACAATAAATTCAAGCTAATAATGGTTTCTTAACTGCCAGTTACCCACTTATTCTATTATCTTCTAGCAAAAGAAGAGGCAAAATATGTATATATTCTGATACTCACTTTTAAAACTAAGTTGTAGCTCTGTCACAAACTTCCAGTTAGTACATTCCCTTCTGGCAAGATCTCCAAGGTCCTCTGGACACTTCTCTTCAATGGCTTTCTGAACCATTTCATCATCAATAATATTTGGCTCAATACTACTGAGAAACTGACTCATTGTGAGATAGAATCAGCCTTAAAGGATAGAAAAGACAAAACAAATTAAATCACTGCCTGGCTACTCTTTCCAGCAGTCATAGAATCCCAGAATGGTTTGGGTTGGAAGGAACCTTAAAGCTCATCTCATTCCACCCTCTGACATGGACAGGGAAACCTTTTACTATCCCAGGTTACTCCAAGCCCCATCCAACTTGGCCTTTCAGTGAAGAAATTTTTCATGGAAATTTTAATATCCCTAATGTTGCCCTGGCGGAATGAGACTATTTGTCTTTTTTGAAATGTGCAGAGTTAATGAATCGCTGTGAAGGACTTGAATCTTCAAACTTTTGCTTGTGTAAGATGTTTATAATTACAGAGTTCTGATTTATTTTTGCATAGGACAGCAATGATAAATGTCAGAGTTTAGAGAGTTCTGTTCTCGTTATGCAACTTCATGAACAAACCAAACCTCTCTGTGGCTGTGTGCAGTACGGACCGAGGAGCAGCAGGCTCTGGATTTATCCATTCTTGACCTTCCTCTCTCTCTTTCTTGGACAATCACAGAATGGTTTGGGTTGGGAGGGACATTAAAGCTCATCTTGTTCCACCCCTGCCACGGGCAGGGACACTGTCCACTATCCCAGGTTGCTCCAAGCCCCGTCCAACCTGGCCTTGGACACTGCCAGGGATGTGCACTTGTCCAGGATCTCTTCGGTCAATGCCGGTTCCAAACACCCTGCCCGGTGGGTGGGAAGGTGCCGCCGCCTCCCACTCCCACCGAAGCCCGGCCCATCGGGCCTCTCACCCGCAGGTCCCCTGGGGTCTGGGTCGGTTCCCGGTTCCCGGTTCCCGGTTCCCGGTACCCGGTTCCCACCCGCGCCTCAGCTCCCGTCGCTAAGGAAGCCCAGGTGCGTTGCTAAGGGCGGCACGTGACTGGCTCAGCCGCCAATGGGCGTGGGGTGGGTGGGGAGGCCAGGCACCAATCAGAGCGCGAGAAATCCGTGTCAGCCAGTCAGAGCCGGGACCGTGCCCTCGGGGCGGAGAGGGCTGGGATGATTGACGTTCCTTTTACCCAATAATATTACAGATGGTTTAGGCCTTTGCCCAATGGGAAATGGCAGTTTCGGTGTTCCCGCTGTCCATCAAAGGGAAGGCGGGGAAAGGGCCGGGACTACCGTGGGGGCGGGCTCCCCTCTTGACAGTGATTGACACGCTTTTTAACTAATGGCTTTGCCGCGCGTCCAGCATCTGTCCAATCGAGCGTAGGAAGGCGGGACCCGCCTGTCAAAGCGCGTTGTGGTTGGTGCGCGTGGCTGTCGGTCAGGGCGCGGTGCGGGAGGGGTGGGCGCTGGGCCGCTGTTTGTTGTCATCCCAAGATGGAGTTTCTGCTGGGGAACCCGTTCAGCACCCCGGTGGGGCAGAGCCTCGGTACGGCGGCCTGGGGAGCGCGGAGGGGCTCGGGGAAGCCTGGGGAGACAGCGGGGGCTTCGGCCAATGGGCGCGGGTGGAGCCAGTGGGGCGTTCTGGGAGTCTGTGAGGGGCTGTGGGGGCTCTGGGGGGTCTGTGAGGAGCTGTGGGAGCGGTGGGTGGAGAGTCTGTGAGAGCCTATGGTGGAAATTTGGGCTCGGTAAGAGGCTCTGGGGCTTATTGGAGGTGTTTTGGGGGTGATGGGGATCAGTGCGGGTTGATGGGGATCTGGAGGTGGTGAGGCAGCTCTGGGGGCTGTCGGGGGCCTCTGGAGGTGCGGGAGGGTCTCTGGGGAGTAGAGATGCCAGGGCTGGTGGGGGCTTGGAGGTGCTGGAAAGCTTTGGCGTTTAGGGAGTGCTGGAGGCCTCAGTGGGGGACTCTGGGGTTAGTGGGGGTTGTGGAGAGATCAGAGGTCAGACGAGGTCTGGGGAACAGGGGGGACTTTGGACAGGCTATTGTCCCTGAGAAGACAGTGACTCCACGTCGAGATGGATGCAGGAAAGTTGTTGCGTCCCCCAGCTCCTTTCCCTTAAGTTGAACACCTTCTTCCAGACCACCCTGTCATTGATCCATTTTTTCCCAAAGTTCTGAAACCTCTGTACCTCTGAGTGGGCAATGGGGTGGAGTGGTTTAGAGACACAAGTACGTGCTCAGTTTTCAGCCCAGAGGCTGAACTGTGTTTTTGGTAACGCTTTGGTGCCATTAGCAGGTTATTCTCAGCGAGCTTTCACTGTATGGCCAGTCTAGGCCTCCCTGGGCTGCTGTGGCTACTCCCTCCCTCCGACAGATGTGTTCTTTCATGACTACTCTTGTTTTGGTCTGGGTTGCCATGGCTGGGGCAAAGAGGAGAATGGAGATAGTCTGGGCATCACTTGGTAACTCTTGAGTTTTCACCTCAGCTGGGTGGGCTCTCAGTGCCTCCTGCTTTCCTCTGTTGGGCCCTGGAGAAATTTAAGATCTCTGACATTGCGGTGGGAAGGAAAAGGCTGGCTCAGGTTCCTGCAGTGCAGGAGGGCGGGCAGTCCCAAAGCCAAGGTGATGCTCAGTCGAGCATGTCTCCTGCGAGGGAAGGCTGGGAGAATTGGGATTGTTCATCCTAGAAAAGAGGAGGCCTTGGGCTGACCTAATTGTGGCCTTCCCATATCTGAAAGGAACCTGCAGGAAAGATGAAGAGAGTCTATTTACAAGGGTCTGGAGTAACAGGACAAGGGAGAATGGCTTCAAACTGACAAGAGAGTAAGGGTAGATGGAATATTGGGAGGAAATGCTTCTCTGTGAGGGTGGGGAGGCCCTGGCAGAGGTTGCCTAGATAAGCTGGGTCTGCCCCATGCCTGGGAGTGTTCTAGGCCAGGTTGGATGGGGCTTGGAGCAACCTGGGATAGTGTAAGTTGTTGGTGCCCATGGCAGGAGTGGAATGAGATGGTCTTTAATGTCCCTTCCAACCCAAACCATTCTGTGATTCTTTAACATACAGCTTTGTGTAGTCTTGCCTATAGCTATTCTACATTGATTTATGGAATGATGGAAGTCTTCGGAGAAAATTTTGCAGAGTATCAGCTCATGGCCTCAAACCTCTTTTCTAGTCCTTTACTCATCCCCACGTGCAGGGACACCTCCTTGTCGAGGTAAAAGGCCCTTGCATGGGTGAAGCTCATGCTGTGCTCTGAGCATGGCTGGGCTCTCTTTGCCAGGCTATATGGAGCATATGTATAACTTGCTGTTTATCCTCAGCCATCTGGGGTGTTTATTTCTTCTGCTGAGGGAGAGAAGCGCCAGGAGTCGGAGGAGAATAACGAGAACAGCTCGAGTGAAAGGTGATTTTAGAGTGAATTGGCTTTGTTGTGTTTGGCCATCAGAGCAGCCCTGCCAGCACAGCTGCTGCTGGGCCAGGCCTCTGCCGTCAGCCTGGGAAGAGAAGGCAGCAATTCCTCCTCTCTTCATTGGCAGCTTCTTTTAGCATCACTCAGTGGTTTGAAGAAGCTAAAGAATTGTTGGGGGGCAGGGAGCGAGGAGCAGTAAAATCTGCTTTTTTAGCCTTCTGCCTCTTTAACTCCAGAGTGCAAAGGTTTTCACAGCTCTCACATCCCTTCGCTCGCTGAACGAGCCCTGCCAACTTTGAGGCTTTGAACACTGAGCTGCTTCCATCAGATAAGGTTAGGTGTGCAGCTTCCCTTAATGCAAAATTCAGCTTCACTTTCAGAATGTTTTTTTTTAACTCCCAGGGGGAAGAGATAACTGCAGATTTTATTTTGGAAGACAAATTTTTCTGCTTTTCCTATCGCTGCCAGTTATCCCTTTCTGAGACAGCAGTAAAACAAAAGCATGCCTTGTTCTCAGCCACTGCTATTTGCCCAGTGCTTCCACAGTTTGTTTTCCCAATGAGCTTGTGGAATATAATTTTCACTTATGTTTCTCTTCATTCTTTGAAAGAAATGGAATAATTTTGTATTTCTGTTTAAACATATTGTGTTGTACACAGTTGTGATGTTTTCAAGCAAGGCCTAACACTCACCATAAGGAAGAAGTGCAGAAAATCCTGTAGGTCCGTCAGCACACCAAGAATGTGTGTTCCCTGCCAGGAAGTAGCAGAGGTTCACGAGAAGATTTAATTAGGGCTCTACAATATCTGCAGATAAATGCCAGGTCTGAATAGAACAAAGATGTCAGAAAAGGTTTGGGGAGAGCTGAGAGAGGTAATACAAGGGATTTTCTCTTTTCTCTTCTTTATCTGGATAATGTCTGAAGCTAGGCAGGCTTTTTATGTTAACTCTTTTGCTTAATGTGGGAAAGTAATGCTAGGATGAGCTCAGAGGATTTGTAATGGAGATGGATAGAGTCTCCTGCATCTAAAGTGCCAGTTGAAATGGCAGCCAGGTTCCTCATGGCTGAAACCTACCTGATTTTTGGACTGGCTAATATGGCACCCTCTATTTAATTCCCGGTGGTGACATAGCAGAAACAATATAAGCAATTACCATGGCTGCTAATTACAAGCCTCACCTAATTTTGCTGTAATACTTTGATTGACCTGTGGATACTAAGTTGTCCTTGTGTCTCCAATAAAATCCTCTCCTGAGAAGAGGGATTGGTTTTTGGTGGGGCTGTTGTGTGGAAGGCAGGCAGCTGTACCTGAGAGATTCCTGAACTCAAAAAATCCCATTTTCATTCCATATTGCTTTTTACCTGGAGGTTGCTGTGAAGGGAGCTTAGCTTATAGCATCATTTTACACATAAACCAAAAATCTCACCCAGGATTTTATAGCAGAATCCAGTACTTCCCAAGGGTTTTTTGAGGTGTTTTTCAGAAGGTCTTTTGTGAAGGCTGGTGAGGGTGGAATTGGGTGCCATGGGTTTCTTAGGCTGCCAAGTACATTGATGTTGACAAGATCCTTTGTGGCATTGGGTGCTGGCCCAGTTCTTACAACTGAACTGTTTATTTTTTCTGTTGAAGAATATCCTGACCAGGGAGGAGCAGAAGAGCAGGAAGATGTGTAGTAAAGCAGTGCTGACAGAGTGCTTGCTGTGTGGAGAGGGATCAGCCTGGAGAAAAAG